GTCTCGTCAGAGACATATTAGAGGCGGAATCGGGAGTCTGGAGGAGTAGAGGTTCGCAAATAGTTAAGAGTATGGGTTGTTCTATTTTAATGGAAATGCGAGGATTAGCTCAGGATAGACAAGAGTGGAGGTGCATATCCAAACTAGAACTGAATACCCTGTGATGATGATAATGATAATGATGATTTGAAACGAATATGTTGTACTTTTCAATAAATATATCCACCAAGAAGTGTTTTATTTATGAAATAAAATTGAAAAACTATATTAACATTCATGTAAAAATCGAACAACATTTGGAAAACTTTGTTTATAAATTACGTTGTCAAAACAAAGCTCCACATTTACATAGGTATGTAAGTACAGTTCATTTATTAGCAACATTATTATAAGTTGCTAATGTATTTATCCGAGTTATATATAAATATATGTGTATGTATAAATATTTGCTCGAAAGTTTAGCACATACGCGAGTAAACGTTTTGGGTGATGTATCTTACTTCCCCAGCTACAAAACTTTTTGAGAAAGCAACTCTATTGTGCTGTCAGTAAATTTTATGGGCTATTTATTGATAAAACGATCGCGATCAATTGATGTTTGATCATAAAAGTATGTAGGCAATAAAAATAAATTACGCTGGGATATATACCTAATCCCATCAATTTACTTACTTAATCGATAATCATCCAACATTAATATGTAACTGGCCACCGAGGGTTATGTACCACGGAAAAGTATTATTTCCTCTTAGATTAGTACCAACGCATTCATTGACTACTGTTTTTATATTTAATTCAAATTATTACCCTCTGTTCCTTCCCGCTACTGAATAAAAAATACAGTAGATAGTACTTAACTGCAAATATCGAGATATTTCTCAATCAATATACGTAATTTATATTTTTTATAAAAGCGAAATAAGAACAAAGTTTGTATTATACCTTTTCAAATTCTAAATCTTACAAATAATACATCTAGTTATCTATCAACATTATAATAAGCTTGTCAGTCGTAAAATTGATTGGACAAAAAAAGCAAAAGTTTAAATCATCATCCATCATGATTATTTAGTATAAGTTAATTAAAAATAAATGTTAGTTCTACGTTTATTCGTATTGGCAATAGTATGTCATTTCTATTGTTCCACTATGACGTAGTGTCGGCCATCATTCTTTTCTAATTGTTGCTGTTGTCGGCCATCATTCTTTTCTAATTGTTGCTGTTGTCGGCCATCATTTTTTTCTAATTGTTGCTGTTGTCGGCCATCATTTTTTCTAATTGTTGCTGTTGTCGGCCATCATTCTTTTCTAATTG